GGGGTGCTCTACCTCTAAGCCACATTCCCCACCCTTTTAATTTTTTATTTTGAGACAGGGCCTCACTAAGTTTCGGAGGATGGCCTTGAACTTCTGATCCTCCTTCTCAGCCTCCTGAGTTGCTGGGGTTCCAGGCTGGCACCGCCTCACCTGGCTTCTCTTTACTGAGCCTCAGCTCAGTGTTGGCTGGGGGTATAAAAGGCCAACAGGATGTTCAGGGCCCCTCACAGACGGAGGGTTCACAGGCAGGAGGAACACAAGCGAAGAGGAGACAGTGGACCAGAGTGACCAGTGCTGTGGTGTGGTCCCGGATGCAGGGGTATCAGGGAACATTCCCTCAACCGAGACAAGAAGGAACCTCTAAGTTTGCCCCATGGGTAAGGTGAGATTGGGCGCCTGTACCAAGAAAAAGGGATCTGCGCTGAGACCCAGGGTCCAGCAGGCACAGGATTTTGGAGGAGAAAAAGGATGGCCAGGAGGTCGGCCTTCGTGGCTGGGGTGGGGAGGAGGTGGGACCATGTGGAGACACAGGAGGGCCTGCCCCTGGAGGGGCTCTCAAGAGCCCCTCTTAGGTAGGTCCTAAGAGCCATCTGGAGGTAGAGGGCCTGAAGGATTTTAATAAAGGAGGGACATGGTCCAATTCCGGATGGTTCCGTGGCGAATGGCTTAGAAAGGGGCATAGCCGGGCAGGACTCTGGAGAGGGAGCCTGGAGGTGGGAGGCCTCTGGAGCTGTGACAGAATGACAGTGGTGGCCCCTGGAGCTATGGCAGTACAAGTGAAGAGAGGGGGTACGTCTAGAAGTTACAAGATGGTTGGCAGGTCATTGACAGAGGGTGGCAAGACCTGAAACCAGTCCCATCACATTGTGAGCCTCGGGGGGTTTGCCAGTACCAAGGGCAGCATCACCTGCTTACTGATGAGCTGGGAGCTCCTGCTGGCTATTTGACCAGCTCACCAGTGGCACGGGTGATCTCTACTGGAACCTGGTGGGGAAGAAACAAAGGCAGTGTGCTCCTTTCAGGCCTGCAGCAGACCTTGAGGGAGCCACAATAACAGTGTTTGTTTGACCAAGCACTTGGCTTTTGTTCTGAGCAGGAAGAAGAGCTCAAACAGGTGTGGCAAGTCTGGGATGCCCAGGGGACAAGTGGGAAGTGGGGTGAGACAAGCCCCGGGGCTGCCTGGCAGGGGGCTCCAGGGCTGTGGATTTTGAAGAAACCCAGGGACTCTCTCACAAATCCTCCATCTTCCCCATGTCCCCAAGCTCCTGCCTGATTGAATATACCAAAATATTAAAAACGTGAACACACGTTAATTAAGCTCCTACTGTGTACCTAGCATCATGCAAGCAGGCAGGCCTGCCTTCATTCCAGAATCATCTCTGACCAGCCTCCCTGTGCCACCTGCTGGGTGCTGCAGACAGAGAAGCTCAGGATACTGTCGTGACCTCGGGAGATGACCTTCTGGTGGGAAGTCTGACGAACATAACAACAGTATGGGGTAGTGTGTGGGTGATGGGAAGAGTTGGGCTAAGGGGTACCGGGGGCTAATTCAACTACTCCTTAACCCAACTCAATGCTATTATCACACTCATTTTGTAGATGAGGAAAGTGCCCCTGGTGTGTTTGGTTCTGGGTAATTTTCCTCTGCAGGAGGTGAAGATGGCACCTCATGGGGCATCTGGTCCATCTCCCTTGTGGAAATGACAGGAAACCAAGACCCGGGAGGGGAGGGCAGGGCTAGAACCACAAGGGAGAGGACCTAGCAATGAGGTCTCCTGGCTCCCAGCCCAGGGTGTGTTCCTAGACACCAAACGTCTTTCTCTGCCCTGAAACTTCCTGAGACCCCTCCCCAGGACCATCCTCAGCTTGGGGTCTGTGTGCCGACTCTACCTGGGCCCTGGACTCCAAACAGGTTGAAAAAGCGTTGAGTTGGGACAGATCCGGAAGCCAGGCAAGGATGTGGGAGCTTGTGGGGAGGGCGTAGGATGGAGCCAGGAACTGTCTTACTCCTCCTCCCCCATTCCCTCGGGAGGTCCCGGGGTGCCCAGGCTTGGGGAGACCAGGTACGCAGCCAGGGGAGAGTCTGAGGCCCCCGATCCCTGCCTGCCCAACACAGGAATGGGTCTGTCTCCCTTCTCTGTCATACCCCTCTGGTTTGGGGGTACTGGGTGAGCTACTGGGGCAGGTTGGCGATGGCCTTCAACATGGCAGGGAGAGGTGTGTTCAGGTTGCCCTCTTGAAGCTAATAGTCAATGAGTAACCAGGACAAAGAGGCTATCCAGTGTCCCTTAGTTCTAGCTTGGTGCAATCTGGCTCCCTTGGCAAGGGTTTGCTGGGGGTGGAGGGAGGGACAAACTTTAGCCCTCTGTCCACTGCCCCAAATTCCAGAGAGGCCTAGAGAAAACTCTTCCCTCAGTTCCCTTCTTCCCTCCTAGCCCTAAGCCTCTCACCTCCAAGCCCCTCCCTCAACAGCCCCTCCCATCTCCAAGCCCCTCCCTCACTGAGCCCTCCCTCTCACATTCCCCAGCCTTCTGTCAATCACCTCCTGGCCACAGGTTCACTTTCGCCCTTCCTGAGCCCCACCCCCTCAAGAAGAGTGTTCTCTAAGTGGAATCTGCTGGGGACAGTCTTCCAACCGCCCAGTCCTTTCCTGGGATCTTATGGGGAGTGACCCTAAGCTGGGGTCACTTGCTATTAATAGTAACCCACCTCCTCTTCCTTGGGTCATGGAGGTGACAACATGTTGGCATTTCTTAACCAAGATAAGAATTTTTCTGGTGCTAAAGTGTTCTCCTTAGAAATCCAGGGGCCTCGAGGATTTTACTGAGCTTTCACTTTGCTGCAGCTAAAAGGAGTTCAAGATCCAATCATTTGGAAACCATTTCAAGTCTCCCCAATCTCAGACACCTGCTCCCCCTTGAGTCACCAGCCCCGACCCTCCCAATGAGCCTGCCTCTTGGACAGGTGGTCTACAGGTTGCACCTTGACTTCCCACCTCCTGTTCACTTTTCCCTGGGCTGCCTCTGTCCCCGACACCTTCTGCTAAGGCCACCTGTGCCCACCCCTGGGGTTCCTAATCCCATGGCTACTCCTCAGGCCTCATCTGCTTGACCACTTTGGTAGCCTAGAGACACGGTTGCAAACACCGCCTCCTTGAAACACTTTTTTTTTTCCTTTCTTTTTTTGGTTTCTGGACTGACCTCATGCTTTCCCAGGTTTCGATTGCCATCTGTATGTATGTTCACCATTCCCAGTTTACCAGACCTGGGAACACGCCCTCCTGCTTCCTGCTTCCTGGGTGTCTCTACCATAATGTCCTGGAGGAGTTCGCCCAACTCAATATGCCCCCAATGGAACCCATCAGCTTCCCCCAGAAACCTGGGCTCATTTTTTGGTAAATGGCACCACCATCCAATCTCTGATCTGGTGGAAAATTGAGGGTGGGTTATCCTAGATCCTTTCCTGCCTTTCCCTGCACCTCTGAGTGGCTCTCAAATCCAGGGAATCTTGCTTCCTTAACTGCTCTGCTCAGGTTCTGCCCCACCTCCACCCAACCTCATGCTCTCCTCCCCAACAAATCATATCTTTTTAAAACTGCAATTCCCTTGCCTCAGCCTCTCGAGAGGCTGGGATTATAGGCTAGTACCACATCAGCAGGCTCCCCCAAATTCTTTTTTTAAAATATTATATTTTTTAGTTGTAGATGGACACAATATCTTTATTTTATTTTTATGTGGTGCTGAGGATCGAACCCAGGGCCTCGCCCATGCTAGGTGAGGGATCTACCGCTGAGGCACAGCCCCAGCCCCCTCCCCAAATTCTTTATTTAACGTGAAACACAACACCCTGACATTTGCAGAGCATGTACCTGGAGCCCTTCCTGTCTTGCTCTGTGTTATTTCTGCCCCATTATCTCACAGAAATGATTGCTACCCTACCTTTCTTTCCCACCTTTTCTGAGCACAGGAGTCTTTCTTCTCTAGCCCTGGGCCTGAGCACTGAGCCCTTTACCTGTCTCTGAGACACAAGTATTTCTCAACATTGTTGACCTCTAGCCCCTTTGAGATGTATATTCTCAGTTCTCCCTCTTTCCCATTCTGGAGTGCCCCAGGAAGAAGATGGGATCTTGTTCTCATCTCTCCTCCAGGTGAGATTTTGCCCAGCTTTCCTTTTGGTGGTGAGTTGGATTCAAACAATAGGTCTTTTTGTTTTCCTTCTCCAAATATGAAATCACAGTATCAAATGTGCTCTTTCACACAGCGCACGGAGATGGTCAAGCACTGGGGAGGATCCAGCTCCAAGCACATCCAACAGGCACATCCTGTGAGAGCCTGCCACCTTCCCCTGACCTCCCACAGCCAAGCCTGCAGTGTGCCCCACTCTCTAGATTGCGCTTTGGCCGCACAGGCTCTGTAGATTCAGCGCCCAAATCCCCAGTGGGTCGGCAAGTGACCACCCAGTGAGCACCACGCTCAATTTACACCCTCACTCCCACGTTACTGAACCTCCGTCCTGTTCTGAGCTCCATCCAGCGGGAGAGGGGGATTCCAGCTTAGGGCGACCCCCGAGGCGGCACTCAGCAGGGAGGTGGCGGACCGCCGGCGCTCAGGACAAGGAGGCGCCAGCAACTGCAAAAGGAAAAACTTTTATTGAAAAATAACAAGTGGCCCGTTTCGTGGCTGCCGGTCCCTGCCCAACGCGGGCTTGGGGGTCGCGCCCGATGGGGCTGGCAAGTAGCGGCGGCCACCCCAGCCCGGCGCTCTAAAAAAGGTGAGGTTTTGTTTTCCATGCGGGTCGGTCCTTAGGTCCCGCGGTCCGGCTTTCTGGTCCGAAAAGGGGTGGCGGCTGGAGAAGGGGGCGCCGGGCCGGCCTCTCCCAGTCGGTCTAGAGAGCTGCCTGGCACCTGGGGGTGGGCCGATCTCCGACTGAAGACCACAGGCTGGACTGGTGGGAGCACCAGCTCCTGGTGGCGGCGGAGGACTCTATCTGCTTTTGCCACCTCAGACGTAGTCCTTGCGGTCGTAGGCGGTGCCGGTGCCCATGCCGGGCCCGGTGGAGCGCGGCGCGGAGTAGAGGACCTTGGTGGGCGCGTACTTCTCGCGGGGTGGGCACGAGCAGCAGAGCAGCGCGCCGCCCAGCAGCTGCATTGCCGCGGCCGCCCAGCCCACGTACAGGCCGGCGCCCATCTCCCGCTTCTGGGAATCCGGCACCACGGGGTTGTAGAAGTCCCGGATGATGGTGTTGGCGGACCAGGACACTGGCACGAGGGTGAGCAGGGCGGCCAGCAGGAAGAGCACGCCAGCCACAATGGTGATCTTGGCCTTGGCCGTTTCGTCCTGTACGCAGTTGGTGCACTGGGCGCCCACAAGTGCTACGAGGAGCCCGAAAGCGGCCAGCAGAATGGCCACCACGATGAGGGCGCGGGCCGCCTGCAGGTCCTGCGGCAGTGCCAGCAGGGAATCATACATCTTGCACTGCATCTGGCCGGTGCTCTGCACCACGCAGTTCATCCACAGGCCCTCCCAGGTGATCTGCGCCGTGATGATGCTGCTGCCGATGAAGGCCGACACGCGCCACATGGGCAGCGCGCAGCACACGATGGTGCACAGCCAGCCCAGCACGGCCAGCGAGGTGCCGGTGATCTCCAGGCCCATGGACATGGTTTCTGTGCCAAAGCCGGCTCTACCGGCGACTCCGGGTGCTGGGAGGAGAGAGGCCGCGTGCCGCTGGGCCTGGGCTGGAGCCGCGGCGCGCTGACACACAGACCAACGCCCGGAGCGACGGACAAACTGACCGACTCACCGACGGCGCGCGCTAACGGCTCGGCTCTGCGCGCTGGCGCCGCGGCTGCCCCTGCACCTGTAGCTTTGTGGGCGGGCGCGGGGACTGGGCTGGCTCTGGGCTGGGGCCAGTTACATTTAGCTTGGTGCCCAGAGCTCCGGCGGGGGCGGGGGGGGGGGGCGGAGCCGCGGTCTCCCAGGCCTGGGGACAGTGACGTGGCCCCCCTCCCACTTTCACCAAGTGCCTTGGGAAGAAGGACTTGGCCAGGAGCGGTGTGCGCCCGGGTGGGGGGTGCTAAGGGCGGGACCTGCGGGCTCTCCCCAACCCCCGCTCCTCGCTCTTTGTCCCCAAGCTCAGAAAAAAATTCCCTGGGGCAGGAGGGGCAACGGGTGGTTCAAGGATTTGGGGTGCAAACCACAAACTGTTTGACTTCCAGTACTACCCTTCCCACCCCTGCCATTTTCGGCGCCTAAGGAGCGGGAGGCGTGGGATGGGGGCGCGGCCAACTCTTGGGACTGCTCAACCCGCGAGCGCCGGCGGGGGCGTGGCCGCGGCCGTTGGTTGGAACCCGCGACTGCGCACCTGCTCGGGGTCCTTCCAGCCTTGTAAACAGCGCAAGTCTTGTATCTGCCCGCCTCATCCGGGCGGGTGGGGTTGCCCAGGCCTGGAGGTGGGCTCGGAAGCCGGGGACTGCCTGCTGAGGGCCCCGGGTCACCGAGACTAGTGCTGAACTCAAATTCTCCAGCCCGGGTCCAGCCCCCTCCGCTGGCGGTGAGCCTGGATGCCTTTCCCTCCCCGCAGCCACCTTCCCCCACTGAGTTCCCTCCCCTACGGAGCCTCCTCTTCCCTCCTTTGGGCCCCGAGTGAGTTCTTCGGGGAACTTGAATGAAGTGGTGGTGAAAGATTTAATTCAGGCAAAAATGAAAAGTCAGAAACACTCGCTCAGACCTTGCTCCCAGCCCTGTGCGCTCCCCACCAGCTCGGAGCCTCTCAGACTTGGCCTCGGGGATCCTGCCATCTCCCACATTCGCCTCTTCCCCTCACCGCAGCACGGGGGTCTCCCGGCTTTTGCTCCGGCGTGCCAGGGCTCCTGCCTCAAGGCCCCGCACTTGTTGGCCCCTCCACTTGTCCCCTCTGCATGCACACTCTGGCTTACTTTTCCCCCTTTAGGTTTTGTGCCCAACAAGGTCATCCCTGACCACCTTATTTAAAATTGCAGATACTTAGCTCACAATGACCTGTCCCTTTTCGTGTTTTATAGTCTCCTCGAGTTTCAGAAAAATTTTAGAATTTATTTATTTATTTTTAGTTTTAGGTGGACACCATATCTTTATTTTATTTTTAAAAAATTTTTATGTGGTATTGAGAATCGACCCCCCCCCCCCCCCCCCCGCACATGCCAGGTGAGTGTGCTACCGCTTGAGCCACATCCCCAGCCCTCTATATATTTTTAAAAAATATTTTGAGACAGGATTTCACCAAGTCGCCCAGGCTGGCCCCTGCCTCAGCCTCCTGAGTTGTTAGGATTACAGGCCTGCACCAGCATGCCAGGCTCCTTAGCAGTTTAATACCTTCTGACACACTCTATATTCTTCTTATAATATTTTATTGTTTTTCTCAGTCTGTTCCAAGAGGACCACGAATTTTTGCCAGATGTCATTTCTTTCTTCTTTCTCTTTTTCTTATGGTGCTGGGGATTGAACCCCGGGCCCTGTGCATCAAGGCAAGCACTCTACCAACTGAGCTATATCCCCAGTGCTGCCGGTGTCATTTCTATTGCAACCCCAGCACTGTTCTCAGTTGATTGTTGGTTTAGTGACTTCTCTTGTTTCTGCATCCTGACCTGCTGTGGCCCTCCCACACTGTGTTCCCTGGATAAGGTGGTGGTGGAGTTTGTAATCTAGTGGAAACCAAGGCCTCCTCTGCCAAAATGCAAGACCATGAGTTGGGTTCAGGGGTTTTCTGGGTTGCTTCCCATCTCTCAAAAAAAAGTGCCCCAGCCTGGAGTGATAGAAGATTCAGGTAAACAGGGCCAGAGGCCCATGGAAACCAGGGTCCTTCTTCTTGCAAGGGCAAAGGTCTTGGGCTGGGCCTGTTGGGCAGGGCTGGGAGTGCCAGAGGGCCCAGCTGGGTGCTGGGTGGAGGTGGCTCTCCTGTAGCCCAGGTCCTTTTTAGTGGGAGTGGCTTTGGACCAGGAAAAAAGGTAGACCCTCCCCTCTACCCCAGGCAGTATGTCAGGAGCTGAGGTGGCGGGCTTTTGGCCCTAGCATGGTCCTCCACTGGACAGCCAGTTGTGCCAGGGTTGGCTGCCATGGCTCTGACTGACTCTTGCTGACTCCACGGCTGGGGGGAGTCACGTCATCTTCTCTAACCTCAGTTTCCTCCCTTGTAAAGTGAGGAAAATGATGTCCCCATGACTCACCTCTTAGGATTTTGGCAACAATAGAAAACCTAAATGTACCAAGAGGCAGAAAACAACCGAGGCAGGGTATGCAAAGGTTCAGAGAAATGGTGTGGGCAGAGGGCAGTGTGGTCAGACAGATCTGAATTTGACCTTGACTTCACTCTCGTGGGTCATTAGACCTTGAGCAGGTCCTATCCACCCATACTGAGTGTCAATTGCCTTCTTTGTGAGAAGGGGCTGATTCTGTGCTGCTAGGGTTAGAGGGATGGGCAGGAACGAAGGGCCTTGTTTTTGAGCCTGGGTGAGACAGACCTGCTGGGCAGGGCAAGCAGGATAGAGAGCTTCATGCCCAGGGGCCAAACTTCAGGGACTTGGCAAATAAGACTTTGGTTCTGGACAAACAGATCACCAATCAACATTGCGCTCAGTATCTACCCTGATCCTTACAACTCAATATAGAAACACAAACGATCCAGTTGACAAAGTGGAAAGGAAATCAAACCACAACGAGATGTGGCCTCACTCCAATTAGAATGGCCAAAGATAGCAGGTGCCAAAGGGGATAGGGGAAAGGGGACCCTTGCACACTCCTGGTGGGAGGGTGTGTTAGTACAGCAGCTATAGAAAACAGGGTGGCGGCCCCTCAGGAAAATGGAAAAGGAAACCACCACAGCACCAGCCGTGCCACCGCTGGGTGGATGTCCAGAGGAAACGAACTCAGCATGTTCAGGAGGCATCAGCACTATTCACAGCAGCCAAGAAATGGAATCAATCTGCCAGGTGCGGGGCTCAGGCCTGTCATCCCAGCGGCTCAGGAGGCTGAGGCAGGAGGATTGTGAGTTCAAGGCCAGCCTCAGCAATTAACGAGGTCCTGAGCCACTTATCAAGACCTTATCTCAAAATTAAAAAAAAAAATTAAAAAAGGACTGGGGATGTAGCTCAGTGGTTGAGTGCCCCTGGTCAAAAAAACAAAACAACAACAAAAAACACCCCACAAAACTGCAGAGAGATACCACTTCACACCCGCCAGGATGGCTGTAATCAAAACATTAACCATAACAAGTGTTGACAAAGATGTGGAGAAATTGCAATCGAAACCCTCAGACTCTGCAGGTGGGAATGTAAAATGGTGCACACTCTTGAAAACAGTCTGGCAGATTCTCAAAAGTTTGGACATAGAGTTTGCATATGACCTAGCAATTCTACTTCCAGTATTCACTCAAGAGCAATGGAGACATATGTTCATGTGAAAAAAAAAAAAAAAAAAAAACTTGTACACGAATGTTCATAGCAGCATTATGCATCATAGCCGAAAGGTAGAAACAACCTAAATGTCCACCAGCTGATGAATGGATAAACAAATGTACCATGGATTAAAAAAAAAAATTCAGGATATCCAGCTGGGCACAGTAGTGCATGTCTGTAATCCCAGCATCTGAGGAGGCTGAGGCAGGAGGATCACAAATTCAAAGCCAGCCTCAGCAACAGGGAGGTGCTTAGCAACTCAGTGAGCCCCTGTCTCTAAATAAAATACAAAATAGGCCTGGGGATGTAGCTTAGTGGTTAAGCGCCGCTGAGTTCAATCCCTGGTAGCAAAGAAAAAAAAAAGTAGCATATCCATTCAATGGAATATTATTTGGTTTCTAAAAAAGAATATAATAAGTCAGTCACAAAAGAGCACCTACTGTATGATTCCATTTATAAACAATATCCAGATTAGGGAAATCTATAAAGATGGGGTCCGGGGTAAGGTTTTGTTAGAAGTGGGAAGTGACTGATAAGGGCATTTTTTTTTTCCTTTGGGGTAATGAAAGTCTTCTCCATTAATTGTGCTGTGGTTGCATCAGTCCTTAAAACATAACAAAAACTATTGAGTTGTGCAATTTGAATTGGTGAGTTCCATGGTATGGAAATTATACCTCATTAAGCTGTTAAAATAAAAGCCACTGTAGTGCTGGGGCCTTGGTGTGTGTCTGTCTGTGTGGGTGTGTTGCTTGGGTAGACATGGGCCCAAGAGGGTGGGGTCAGGGTGTCTAGGAATGGAAAAGGCTTGGAATCTTCAGGCATAATGGACACCCCCACCCACATTCCTATCCCAAAGCAGCAGCACAGCCCAAGGTGTGACAGCCACTCCAGGACTGGACCCTGAAGCAGGCACTTTGTGACTGGAGGGAAGTGGAGTTCCAAGGCTGGGCTGCAGGAGTGGGGCAGGAGCTGGCAGGGAAGGGGTGACCAGGCGCGGTGGGTCGAGGACCGCATGCGCTGTAGGGGCGGCGAGAGAACCAAGAGAAGAGCGCCCAGAGCCAGGGGGCCAGCCCGCCTCTCCCTCCCTCCTGGTGTCCACCCCTCCACCGCAGACCCCGGGCCCCACTGCCCACTTCCTCCTGGCAGAGACACCTGTGGACTCCTCCCCTTTCTTCTGCCCCAGCCTGTGCTCTGCAGTCTCTACAGGATCAGAATCCTGCCATCTCTAGGCTGCAGGAGATCAGAATCGAGGAGGGAGGAGCTTAGGGCTTGAGGAATTTGGGGCTCCAGATGCCCAGGCTCAGGGCACAGACCATGTAGAGCCCTGGGGACGAGTCGCTCAGGGCACCACCCAGGCGTGCTGCAGTCGCTGTGTCCGTTTTAACTTGCTGCAGCATCTGGGTGTCAGTGTGGTGCTGGTGTGTGTGTGTGTGTGTGTGTGTGTACGTGTGATGTGA